AGGTATTGTAAGAGCCTGAGAACGAGGTACGATTGTGCACATTAAATATGCTGCAGTGGCACAATAAAATGGAGTGAGAGTTACATTACTTCATCTTTAACCCTGAATTTTCTTACTTTTATTGGGCTTTGTCAGGTACATCATGTAACTTCAAATATAAACTGAAATCAAATAACTTTTTCTTCTATTTTACCCCTTTCAAACTCCCTAGCAATATCATGTTCAACATTCATGTTCAACAGATTATATTTTAAATCATTAATATACTCAATGACCATTCTTCAAGATATCTAGGAAAACAAAACATTGGCTATGTGGATTTACACACTATGGTGATGATTTTTCCAAGAAAAAAAGAAGGCAACTGGATACTTAATTTTAATTGAAGTCAGTCTGATTCAGACTCCTATCCACCCTTTTTGTCTTTAAAATCTCCATCCCAATGTTATTAATAGTATCTGCCAAAACCTTCTCAAATACACTGTAGCATAGCTTTGATCTGATGATCTCTTAGCTGAATGCAAGGATCACAGACGCTACAGATTTTTTAAATCGTTATAGTTTATTCTTACATATCCTAATTACAGACTTTTTTTGTCTGTGCCTGACTAGTATTACTAGGAGTTCTTGTTTCTACAGTTCCATAAGAGCATATTACACTCTATACTAGGTAAAACATGCTAAAAAAGAAAATAAACTCCTTAACCAAGATGCCCTGACAAGTACAATATAGAGGAAGACAGTATAAATGAGAGTACTGCATTAAGAGTGAGTGAATGTTCAGGTATCTTGCTGGAAAAAGAAAGTACTATGTTACTATCCATTGCAACTAGATTGTACTTTTTTCCCAAAGTCATCAAAATGTATCATACTAAAATTCTCCAAATTACATTTCCAATAATGATCATTTTAAGGTAGAAAGACAATTAGATATTTATCCAGTTCCAAACAGTCTTCTTAGCTATCACACGGAAATACTTTGCCCCATTTGTCTATTTATTGTTAGTTATCAACAACTAAAATGTTGTACACATGTGGATTTTGACTCCCAAAATGTTGAATAGATTTACAATCCCATCACTCAATACATAAATATTTTATTTCATATGATGTATGCATCTGAGTCCTTGATTCATGATCTATACCAGGGGTAGGCAACCCCCAGTGCAGGTGCCAGAGCACGGTATGCAAAGACATTTTGCTTGGTGCACACACCTCAGGGCGGATTGGCAGGGAAGGGGCCAGAGCTGTGCTCCCCCAACAAGGATCAGGCCCTTTGTGGCTCCCCCGCTGCCCAACCCTGGTATGCCAATAACTTGCAAGTTGAGGTTGTGTGTATTTTTGGCACTGCCCAAAAACATTGCTAACCCCATATCTACACTGTGTCCAGCATCCATTCCTGCCTTTCAGGGGGCAATGCTAACTGTCTCTCTATCTCTTTTTACTCTATCTCCTTTTTTTCTGCACTTTTCATCTTCTTTCAGAAGCCTGCAAGCCACCTGCTCTCTGCAACTCACTATTTGCCTTACTTTGCCTTTTCCCTCCCCTCATGTTTCAACAGCACCTGCTATTTACCTATTCCTGCCTTCCTGCCAAGGGGACCATTTTCCCTCTAGTGCTCTGTATATTTTTTGCACTGGTGTCTATGTGGCTGTAAAACTGGTCTGGGGGTTCTTTCTTTACCATCCTATGAGAAGCTTTTGTAAGAGCTTTTCCATGATTATAAAAAACCATCACAGTTGCCTGGATAGGGATGAGTAAAATATAACATCTTCTGTATTTTGGTGGCGGAGTGGAGGGCAAACACTGCATTTTCATTGCAGTCCACATTATCTCTCTTTTAATAGGAACTATGAATACCTGCTGCAATGTACAGAAACAGGATTCGTGCATTTTATTTTTGGTGAAGGAAAGCAAGCCACTATTTATGCTTAAAAGTAATCTAAAAAAAAGTATGTAGAATGTGGGTAATGGGAGGAAGGGTCAGAGGATTAGAAATTTCTTGAACTGTCATGAGCCATGTTATTTCTTATGACCTTAGGTGGGATAGTGTCATAAACATACTTTCTAGTCACTGAATTTCTGTTGCTAAGTTAGTAGCATCTCACCTGATAAAAGGATCCAGCCAATAAAATAAAATCATGTAACAAAATATTTTGGTGAAAAGACACATAAATGATTAAAGATTTAATTAACAAAATGTTAGGCTACTTTGAAGTATGTTTTAGTGAAACAAACTAGCCAGGCAAATACATAAAACATACTGAAACCACTCCTTTTCAGTAAATAATAGTTGCCAATGACGGTTGAGGAAACAGGAAAACCTGTTAACTACATTTTAATAATGTGTTTATTAAAATAAAATATTATAGTAACCATAAAGCTTGGCAATTATTTATTGTGTCTGTATGTTTTCCTTTTGTCACAAGGCACATGAAACTGTGAAATATTTTGCTTTCCAGCTTCTGTTCTGAATTACCTAAAGTCAATACCCAGTACACCAAATAGGAGACATTGTTAAATTTTGCTCTGACACCATCATCTGTCACCCCCACCTGTACTTTGAAAAATGAACTCCAAGTAATCAAACCATTTTCTTTCATAGAAAATATTAACTGGCATCTGCAATAGTAACCTGCAAAGAAAATGATGGGTTTTTAAATAGTAACGACAATGCTGGGTGTTCCTGAAACCCTCCATATAAATAAACCTAAAAATAATTGAAAGACCTACAAAACATGCAATTTCTTTCACCTCATCAAAAGTTTAATGGTCCAAAAGGAATAATTAATTTAGGAAAATACTGTTGTACTACTGGCATGTAAGAATGTAGTGTCTATTTTTGAAACTCACCAACACTTGAATTCAGATCACCATTCTCAGACTCTGCTCCATGCTGGTTATTACTGGCATGATAATTGGACATAGCTTCTAATTTGATTTTTTTCACTTTCATTGCTTCTGCTATGGCTGCATTGGTGGCAGCTGCTGCTGCTGCAGCTGCTGCTGTCAGACCTACAAAGAAATATGAATAAAATTTAATATACATTATAATATGACTCTTTATTACAGTAGGGCTTGAAACTGTTTTCCTTTATCATTTATTACATCATTAGCAAAGGATATTACTGAATAATAGTCATCATCTTTGCTTAGGAGGATATTTACTTTTCAAGGTAAAATGCATATGTAAATAGTCAGTTACAGATACCTAAATTCTCGATATTGGTCTCAAATTACTGCAGTTACAATGCCATTGTGATTACTGCGGCACCTGCAAGCTATGTATTGAAATGCCTAAATAGGTGCAAAGGTAGATGTAGATAAACCTTCTGGCAACAAATTTGTAGATGCAAAATTACCCTTGCAACATTGGAGAACAGGATAAAAATCAAGGCCAAAGAGTCTGAATAACATTTATGACTAATGAGTAGAATTCATATTGGGCCATTTTCCCCTGAGGTCTTACACAGGTGACTTTATTTAGTAAAATAAACTAAGAACCTATCAATGAACAGTTACAGCATTATTAGAAGAAAGGTTAGTGATGTAGATCTTTAGCATTTGCCATCCCCAAACCTACGTCTAAACTCAGGTCTCAATACCGCTATCAAAATACTGCAAAAAGTATAATTAATCTTCAAGCTTTATTTCTACAATCAAAGTTCTATACCTACTATGGCAAACTCTCAAACTCCAGACAAAATCTCTTCATTCAGCCACCTTTGCAAAACATTCAGTTGTAAGAGGGTAATGAGCTCCCTGTCAAGAATGATTAGTAAAATTGCTCACTTATGCTTTCATCACTGAAGACAAGATCAGCCTTTGTTCAATGCCATGAGTGTGGGACAGTACAGTTCCACTCCATGATGAATACAGGACAGAAAATTGAACTTAGAGTCAGTTTCTCTCTGATTCTCCTCTTGCTCCAAGAAAGGAAGTATTTTAACACTAGTTTCCACCAACAAGTTCTCTTGCACCAGCTGGGTTCTGCTGTGTGCCATACTGGGGGTAAGAAATAGAAGTATGGCTCTGTCCAACCCTCACTACACTACACCCAGTTGCTTGGTAAAAAGGAGTCATTGCTTCCCCTTTACTCCATGCTCCAGATCCAATGGACAAAAATAGGTATCTCATTCCCCCTTATCAAGACATGATGATAGTTTAAGGCATATACACTATAGGGTTCTGTTGAGGTTATCTCACATAGTTGTAAATCTCACTTTTCTTTTTCTTTTTTTTTTTTGATAGCCCTTCTAGCTACAGAGAAAAACATGAAAACATTATTGACTGGTTTAATGTGTTTCTGAGTTTGCATCCAGCTTGGAACTGTTTCTCTAAAAGGTTTATCAGCAAAGGATGTTAGCCCCAGGACCAATGTTGTGATATTCTCACAGCACCACCCTAGCATAGAACTGGTATGCCAGGTTAAGAAGAGTGTAGGATAGCGAGCAAGCCCAAGCCAACATAAAATCCTGGGCCACGAAGGACCTCTTGCTGCCCCTGATCCTCCCAGTGATCCCTGCTGCTACTCCTGCTTTTTGGATAAGTAGAAAGAACTTGTACATGCTATCTCTGATGGCCATATGAAATGAGGCAGAACATGCCCTATACCAATGCTTCTACTTGTCTGGGATGGGGAAGAAAGCTCTGCCACTCCAGCTGGGGGAAGGGGCTCAGCACAGATATGGGAGCACAGGGACCAAATGCCACAATATGTCTAAGGTCTCAAATTACATTTTTAACTTCTGAGGCTACATTAGGACAAGCTACAACCTGGCCCTCAATAAACTCCTGCTGGACAGGCATCTAACACATCTAATTTGAATTACAAACCAAAGAGCAATTGCTTTATGTGTAGTCACATCAATCTTAGTTACAAAATTGCTATTTAGGTGGAAGAAAATAATCCAAAAGTCAAATATCAATGAACGAGGTGGATAAACATAAGGATTTTATTTTAGTATTTACCATGACTATAGAACTTGCACACTCAGATCAGAAAGGAAAGGTATTTACAATAACACAGATGGTTTCCAACAGTATTTTTATCTTAAAGGAAGGATATAAAGTTATATGTTATACAGATTTGGTCAGAGTTCCTAAATTAGACCACAGAAAAAGGGATGGTGCACCTCTGAAATGTGTTTGTATCCTGTGGTTATTGGAGAATGTTATATTCCATACTTCCTTTTTCTAAACACTACTTACAAGGTAAAGTTAGCGTCTTTCAAAGAACAATCTTACCAGGAAAGTTCAAATACAGCATATCCAGAGAATAAAAACATGCAATCCCAAACTATATCAGTTCAGGTCTCTAGGACTCCTGGATATGGATTAGAAACCCCATGCTGTTCAGCTCTACTTATAATAAATATTACTAAATACTAAAAAAAGTATTTTTTTTTAGTAAATACTAAAAAAAAAAATTAAAGGCAGAAATTATATTCCAATTTTCCTTCGGCCTTGTACACAATTACATGTCTGAGATGAGAGCACCTCGCTAATTTAAAGTGTGACATTGCTACAAAGCGATATTCATTTAACCTATGCAAACCTGACATACAAGGCTCACGTATAGAGTTTAGGTGGGGAAAAATCCATGATTACTGTAGTGTCACATCTTCTAGATTAAGCTGCTCTCTGTTCATAGTCATAACAGGGAACTAAAGAGGCTTGGAGGCCAGGTACAGACATTATATTTTTACTGATATAAGTAAGTAGAAACCGGTCTATACCTATAACAGGACAGAAATTTGGCACACAAAATCAGTCTCTACCAGTAACAGTACAGAAGTTTACCATATATATACAGATTTAAAAATGGCAGAATCCATTTTAAGATTTGCCCCTCACCCCAAAGCGCAGACGTGTGTTCTTTTCACCACTAATCTAAACTATGCCACTTGCAGTAAACCATGTAACTTAGATCAGTTTTATCTTGGGTTTTTGAATGTCTGTACCAACCCAGGAAATGCTGGAAATAAACTCAAAAACTCTGTTAACTCAAAAATGTTCTGAAATTATTACTTAAAAAAGGATAAACTGTGCACTGTACCACTCCACTTTGACATTAGGTGGCCTAGTCTTGCAAAGATTACATGTAATATATACAGTAGTACCCTCCCATTATGATTATGTAATTTGTGATGCCCAAACTTAAATGACCAAAGGTCACCCTTAAAGGCAATTTAAAATGTAGTAAGCAACAACAACTATACTGGACATTCAATAGCATAAATGATATGATTTTTTCTTTTATTTACTAATATTTGCTTGAAAACTATAAAGAAACATGTCAAAATACTTGGTAGATGAAAGTCAATGGTAGTTATCATTAATATTCTGAAATTGATAAGCTGTTTATGTCTGGCATTCTTCCTGCTGATTATTCAGTGAGACAGGCAGCTTTATAAATATCTCATCACTCCATCGTCACACAAATTTCATCGACAGTGCTCATGCACAGCTATTAGCAATATGAATCTAACCATTACAAGAGGGAGGAAAATCGAACATGTGGCATTAATACGCAGTCCTGGTTCCTAACCATCTGATAGGCAGATGGCATAAAGCGGATTCTCCAGCTGAAATGAAGGGGCACATCATTTAAAACCTTGTTTGCATTCTAACTGATATCAGTGCCATATTGATATACATGATACATCATGGCAGTATTTGAACAATCTAGTTTGTTTCAGTCATAAATGTTTACAGCCTTGTTTTTTATCTTTAGAAGCATGTTCTGAAGAGCGTATTTTTAATTTATGAAACCTATTGTTTACTTCTGTTGAACCAGAAGATTAGCAAGGAGCAGGAATATTAAATTACCACCACCACAGCAATATAACTAAGATGGATGAATAAAGTATGTTTTTTTCAATAAAAGATGTTCGTAAAGGAATTAAAAAATTAGCCTAGACATTTTATGCATTAAATACATTTATTCATTTAAACCTTCCAGCTTTTTTCCCATGTGACATACTTAGAAACTTAATGCTTTACACAGCTATTCATTTAAAGCTCTTACTGTGTGCAATTAATCTTGTCCAACAATTTAATTCAAAAGGCAAAACATCAAAAAGTAAAGTTCAATTCAACAATCACAGTTCTGAAGTAATCTCCCCTCTGCTGACAGCTCCTTTAGACTCATCGGCAAAAGTCTGTTCAAGGTGTCTTGTAAGAGCTATGTGAGCCTGAATTATAACTCAATTGAAAGCTCTCCAAGCCTTAGTAGGAGCTCAGGTCTTAACTTCAGCAATAAGCAAATCACCAAAAGGAAGTGTGAAGAATCTCGTTCTCTAAAGTCCTTCTTCGCTCTGTCATTAGAACATTGGCCAATAGTTACTTTCTAGCCTTGCACAATCAATTATGTTTTAAAATAGTCATATTTATAAAGAGTTAAGGCACAATAATTAAATAGATTTTAACTGCAGCCATTAACGATATGTTTAAAATATATTAAATATGTTTAAAATCTTGGTAAGAGATGTAGACGCAATTTAAGTTTTTAATCCTATGCTACCAAGGCTGAATAAAGGAAAGTCTGTTATTAGAATATGCACCAAGATGAAGAAGTCTAGACATTCAGAAATTAGCTATAGAATATATCTATATTGTTAACCAGTTAGACCATCACCAGATAAAATAACCACATGTATCCTAGTTTTTGATAGAACTCACTGTAATTGCCCACACTTCTACTGTATGGGTTAAAACAGCAATTACCAGGCAAACAGCAGCACTGGGCAAAAGGGGCAGGAATTTAAAGAGTCATATTTGGTACACAGATCTTACAAGCAATAGTTAGCACGAATCAATATAGAATAACCACAAATGTTCCTCACACACCAGTGCCAGAGGGGCTGCTGCTTTCACATCTCAAACAGAAGAGTGGAGAGGGTGCCTCCAAAACACATAATTACTACTTGGTTGCAAGTCAGCAGTTTTTAACATCAAAGTAAATAAAAGACAACCCTTCAGGAAAGTCTGAATCTCAGTTCATTGTAAAGGAA